GTCGGGGATGGGGCGCAGCAGTAGACACAGGCCAGCAAGGCCCTGGCTTGTGGAGCTAATTCTCTGCTTGAGAGGAGCAGACAGAGAAGTGCAGTGCCAGGTGGTGGCTGAGCTGGGCGGTAGCAGTGGCATTTGAGCCAGAGCCAAAGGGAGTGAGGGGACAAGCATTGTAGGTGAAGGGAACAGCAGTGACAAAGGCCCTGTCTTTATTCTGACATCTGGAACGTGGCCTACCCCACATTCCGCGCGTCCTCCCATCCCTCCTGGCCTGCAGAATCTGGGCCAGCCTGGCCTCCTTCCTGTCCTGTCCACATCCCCGACCGGAAGAGCCTGCGGGTCAGCCCTGGCCGTTCTGGGGAGAGCAGGCTGGCTGGGCCTGTGCCACTCCTAAGCCATTTGTGCCACATCTCCTCCTCGGAGGGTACGTGGGGCGGCGTGGCACATCTTAGTAAATAATGCATTTCCATTTTTACTAGCCAGCCTCATTTGCATAACCCAGCCAACTGAAACGTCGTTTTTCTCTGGCTAAGTTATTTATCACATTCTCAGCGTTTGGCTGCAATAATATCACTCCATCAGCGTGGTCATACAGTAATTCAGGCATTTTGTTCTAGCAACGAAGACACTTATAGTTAATAACACATGAAGCCATTTCATTAAAAGGAAAGTTTTGTTAGGATACATTAGCAGGGGCTGCCAACCAAAACACAAATCATTTCATTCCTCGGATATTAAGGAAGCAAAATGAATTAGGACCAGGCCACTTCTGAAGCGGTTCTTTGCAGTCTCTTATCAGCGGACTGCCTCTGTCTTTCTCAGCCTGCAGCAGGGGCTGGGCATTGCAGTGTGCGGCCCTTGCCCCCCCTGGCCACATGGCCTCCGCTCTGGGCAGCGTCCCCAGAGGGCCAGTGGACGCCCTCGCTCCCCATGGTCCCAGCTCCTGCCCTCAGGCAGGTGGCATGTGTGAAGAGGCTGGCAAGACGCCTGGGCCACCCAGGTGCAGCTGGCTGTGCCCTGTCGTCTCCAAGACACGGGCGATACACGTGCTGGCGTGTCCAGGTCACAGGAAGGTGAGAGGAGACTCGCTCGCCTGATGTCTGAAAGGCACAGGGCGCACTGGCCTGTGTGAGGAAGGGGGTGTCCTGCCTGGTTGTCTCCACACCTGCGAGGTGCAGACGGGCGTTGCTCCAGAGTTCTGTGGCCGCACCCGGCGGGCTGCTGCGCAGGTCTGCTGTGACAGAGCTTCCGTCCGCATCGCGCCTCTCCCGCGCCGGCTTCCTCCTGAAATAGCCGCGTGCCCAGGGAGCCTGGCGCTGCTGCGGCAGAGCCGTGAGTGCCCGCCGGCCTGCAGAGGTGTGCGAGCGCCTGAGTCACACTGACATGTTTTGGTTCTTGGACACCCGCCCAGGAGGGTCATTGTCCAGACTGCTGCTTTTGTTGACGGCTTTTGGGAAGCAAAGGGGATGCTTAGCTGCCCTACCCACAGGCAGTGCATTGTTTGTGTTTCTTCTCCCGCCTAGCATTTGACAACTAATTAGGCATAGTAATTACCTGCTTTAATTTCATGATTGCACACCCTATAATTACCCCTAATTCTGTAGTAGGGACCTTTGTGTACACAAAGGTGGATGACACGATGGGTTACAGTCCCTGCTCAGGGCGGGGCAGCTGCCTCCGCATCCGCCCAGCAGGCTGGGTGTGGTCCCCTTGTACAGGTGGGGAATCTCGGGTGGAGTATCACCCCCAGGGGCGCGGCTCACAAGGAGAGCCAGGGCCTCTCTCCCCGCCGCCCGTGCGGCTCCTCACGCCTCGCCCGCTCTGGCGGGCAAGGCCGGGGTGTACCGGCTGAAGAGCCCAGACCCAGCAAATGCTTCAAGCACATCTGGGACTTCAGCTGACTTCAAAGATGCGTTAGCGCCTCATTCTCCCTGCTGGCCTTCACCCTTTCCCTCCTGCTCCTTCCCTCGGGGAGGGGGTGTGTGTTGGGGAGTGGCTGGGAGTGTGGGTGTTGAAGAGGTGAGTTCATTAACCCAGAACCACTTGGCTAGCAAGGGATGGAGTAGGAATTCTAGTCAGGTTGCTGAGGCCTGAGACTGAGTGGATCCTGAACCCCTCTCACACAGACACCTGACTTCAAGTCGGGTCACCCATTCGAGCTGAGTTTTGACATCCTAGGGCCATAAATTGGGGTAAAAATTCATCTTTCTGAGGACAGCAAAGGCAGAACTATCATTTTTGCTTTTGATTTTAAATCCATGTTGAATATGTCAGGTGCATAAATCTTACATATATATTTCAATTAGCCTTTACTTCTGTATACACCTGTGTATACAGGTATGTAACCGTTGCCCAGAGATGGAAGACAGTTGCAGGACCCAGAAGGTTCTTTGTGTCCTTTTGTGCTCCAAGTAAGAATTTGATCAGAGCTCAAGACCGTGACGATATTCTCCTGTGTTTTCTTCTAATAGCTTTATGATGTTAACATTGACATTGAGAGCTATGATCCCAAGAGATCATTGACCAAAAGATTTATGATCCCAAAAGAAAGGGTACAGAAGCCATGTGTATGAACCCCCACAGCAGGCTTACCCCTAATAGTCCCATTGGAAACAACCCAAATTGCCATCCCAGCAGAACAGGTAGGTAAATTATAGCATATTTGTACAGTGGGATATTACGCAGCAAAGAACACACACAAAGGATTCCTCTACACAAACAGTGAAAGAAACCAGATACAAAACACTCTCTGCATGATTCCCTTTAGGTTAAGTTCAAAGACCTGTTAAAGGACGCAGGCAAGAGTGCCCGGCAGAGTGGGTGGCTTGATGACTGGGGAGGGACTTGGGGAAAACTGAGAGGACATTCCAGTGGGTGGTCTTAATCTTCTCAGTGTCTTGATCTTCTCCATGGACTCTGTTCATTGTGACCTTCCCCTGCCCAACTTACCTAATGCTGGGAAGGCCTGACTTCGTATTCTCCCCAGTGGGATCAAAATCTCAACCCCAAACTACCTCTTAAAACAGAAAAGTTTTGCCCCAATTCCTGATAATAGATATTAGCTTCCTATTTTTGTTGTTGTTGTTGTTGAGTCAAGGAGCTTGGACTTGAAATGGATTTTTATTGCTTGCTTTAAAAGGGAACTTGGGTCTTGCCAAAGAGGTCAGCTGTTCTGTATTCCTCCAGGGAGTCTTTATCTTTGTGGCTCAGGCAGGAAGATTTGAAGCCTAGCAAGCTTAATTTGGAAGGGCGAGCCCCTCAAAGTAAAGCAAAACCAACCAACCAACCAACCAACAGCCTAGCAATTTGAGGCACAAGCCCTTCCGGTCCTTCAGTGAAGTAAGTTCACGACTTGGTTAAGTGTCTTTCCAGGATGACAGTTCACAGGACAAGTTTCCCCTTTCAGATGCCGAAAGCAGGTCTGTCAAAGGGCAATTCAGGCCACTGGGGAGGTTTTAGTGGCGTTCGGTTCCCAAAGGGAAACTGAGAAGGTGCAGTTGGGACTTCTGGAACCAAGGAGCCCATTCTGAGGACAAATGATCTGCCCAGGAAGGGACACTCGGGCCCCAGAAGAAGCAGCTGCTGCTGTTCCCAGGGCCAGGAGTGCTGGCGGGGGCACGAGGCGATGTGATCCCGGGGACCCAGCCGCAGGTCGCCACAGCACGCTGCAGGAGGGACAGCGCTCCCCGAGCTGGGCTGGAGCCTTTCCCTTGCCTCCGCCCCCCACCCCCGACAAGTGAGGGGCGCTCTCTGAGTCCCGCCTGTGTCTGCAGAAGGGGCTTCACACCACGGGGTGAGGGGGGGCGCCGGGCGTGTCTGGCCAGCCGCAGCACATGGTGGGCGACGCAAGGGTCAGTGTGAGGAGATTTACATTTTATGGGAGTCCTGGAAATGTCACTTTACTCTTGGGTTTGGCAGCGGGCTACCCCACTCCTGCTGAATTTCTTCTAGACCCTCATCACAAAACAGCCAGAGAAGCCGGAATTGGATCTGCGCCCGCCCAGCAGCAGGCACAGTCCCCGGGGCTTGGGCCTGGCCTTGGTCGGCTGGGGGCCCTGCGAGGACTCTCCCCGGACCCTCCCCGGACCCTCCCCAGTAGCCCATGGGCACTGGATAGAATGGAGGCAGCAGTGCCCAGTGGCTGCCTTTCAGTGTCGAGTGGGCCCAGTCTGAGGCGCTGGCCCAGTGGGTGTGGCCCGGTGGAGGGAGCCAGTGACCTACAAATGATGGAACAGTAGATGATTTTTGGTGGGGGGTGGGGGGTGGGCGAGCTTATGCCACGGGGACAGCCACGGAAGCAGCCGTGGGCCCGGCGGGAGGAGCCCCAGAGATGTGTTCCGAGCAGGAGCGTCACGACTTGTCACGCGCGTCAGAGATGCTCATGTCTTTAATCTGTTAAAGCCCAACTGTTCTAATTGGCAGCTCCAAGCTTCGTGCGGCGGGTATTGGCATCTGCTGGTCGCGGATTGCAGTAGCTATTTATCACCGCAGATCTGGGCTCGTGTAATCGTCTTAACTCCTGTAATTTTCTAAAATGCATCGGTTTGCTTTGCTGTTTCCCTGTGCGCGGGTGGCTGTGCGGCCTGGGAGGTGTGAAGGCCTGGAAAAAGCTGCCGAAACATTTTGTGCCCTCGGAAGAGTCTCTCAGAAAGCCACACAACGATTAAAACAGAGATGAGCTCTGCCCAGTTGTCTCGCCCCCTGCGACGTCATCCCTGCCCTCCTCCCGGCCGGCCTCTCCCCGCGGCAGCCTGCCCCTGGAGACTCGGGGCGGAAACCGGCCCTGGGATGAGTTGCTGGTCTCCCTGGAGCTGGATCATGGCACAGCAGGTGGTTCGCAGACGGGCCTGAGTTTTCCCGCGCCGTGTGCCCCTGGGAGCTCAGCAGGCCGCGAGCCCCAGCTCCGGGCAGGCTCACCCGTGCATGGCGGAGCCTGTCCAAAGCCCGCCCCTGTGCCCTGAGAGTTTTCAGAGAAGCTAACATTTTCTTCCTCTTCCTGCCAGGTCTACATCCGGATAAAAGACGACGAGTGGAATGTTTACCGGAGGTACGCGGAGTTCAGGGCTTTGCACCACAAGCTGCAGAACAAATACCCTCAAGTGAGGGCCTACAACTTCCCTCCCAAGAAGGCCATCGGGAACAAGGTACCGTACCTGCGCGGCCCTCGGCGGCCGGCTCCTTCGTTTATAAAGCTGGCGGCCGCTCGTGGTGACTTGCTTTTGGGTGTCATTTTCTTTCATGAGGGTTTGGCCAGCTTGTCCCAGAGAGGCCAGAGAGTAACTGTTTTCGGTTTTGTGCATTGTGGCATCTGAGTGGAAAATACTCACCTCTACCACCTCGGCGTGAGAGTGGCCAGATAGTGGGAGCGCAGATGGCCGCGACCCTGTTCTGTTTTATTTTTAAGACTAGGGACAGCTGGTTTTGGCGTGTGGGTCAGTTTGCGGAGCCCTGTTCTGGATCAAAATATTCTGGTTCTCGTGTGTAGTTGTCAGGATATCTGTTTGAACTTGGATGGGCATTACTTGCTTAGTGTGGTTCCTCAGGGGAGCCTTTTATTATTGTGGGTCATTCCCCCATGAAGGTTCGTGATTTATGGACATTATTTGATTCTGTGTGTTCATGCAGGGCCCAGAGAAGGGGCTTGTGAGCCCTTAGCAAGCTGGCTGGCTGACTGGCCTTTGTTCATCCTGCAAGAATTTAGTGAGCACCTGTTATGTGTCCTGGTTCATGGGGCCCAGCGCCAGGGGACAGGCCTGGCCCGCAGCATGGTCTGCCTCTGTGCAAATGGGCTCGGCCAGCACGTGGGTGGGGGTGGCCCCCGCAGTTTTGATGATGCTACTAAAAGTCTACATGATTGCTCAGTGAGCAAATAAGAATTGTGAGCCTGTCATCCCTTCTTAGGATAATGGAGTCAGTCTCTGAAAGTTCATTTGGCATTAAGGCAGGCAGATCACTTCCCCCTAAGCCGCAGATAACTCAACCGGTTGGAGAAATTATGCATTGAAATCCCCATTAACAATGCATACGCCAGCCTGAGGAAGAGCCAGTGGCTCTGGCTGAGCCTCGGAAAGCTCCTTGCTGCTCCTTGAGGCGGGCAGATTTCCTGGGGTGGGCAGATTCCTGTGACGCCAGGGCCCTGGAGGGGGTGGGCAGCGGGGCACCGGGCAGGATGCTGATGGAGGGGTCTGCCACTGGCCGCCCTCCAGAGCGCAGGGTGATTGAGCTCGCTGTCGGGACACAGAGCTCACGGCCTTAGAAAAAGGCAGGTAAGTTGTGCTCATGGGGGCGCCCTGGCGTGGGTGGAGGACCCCTTGGGAGCGCTGGAGACACAGTGTGTGAGCGGTGCCGAGTGGGGCATCTTTCCTTCCGTGCACCCTGTCTCCCCCACGCGTCTGCCACGTCCTAGTGCCGCCATAACAGGTGACCGCGAGCCCAGCACTTACACCCGCACGCGAGTTGTCAGAGGTCAGGAGGCAGCGGGCTCTCACTGGGCCAGTCATGTGGCCCAGCCTGTGTTTCCTCTGAAGCTCTAGGGGAGGTCGGCTGCTCGTCTTTGCCAGCCTCTGCGGGCCGCCCTCATCCCTCATCTTCGGGAGAGCAGTTGTGCGCGTTATCCTGCCAGAATGGTCCCGGGAGAGACACTGGTGCGCTCCAGGTGTGTGTGTGTGTGTGTGTGGATGCAGGTGTGGATGTGGGTTTGCACACGGGACTTCTTGGGAGGACTTTTCTAGAACATCAAGTTAAAATCCAGGCAAAAGCCAAGGGCACTTCACAGACGAGTCACTCAGAGCCAGGAGTGTTTTCCTTCTGCTCCCGCCCTGCACACCCGTGCATGGAGCACAGCACGAACCAGGAGTCACCTGGTGTCTCGGGTCACAGGCCTTGCAGGGCCGCCGCCTCCTGCGTTGCAAGCGTCAGCTCTCGCTTGTCTGGGTCCTTTCTCAGTTCCCTGCAGACTGCCAGAGGCACAGCTCTCTCCTCATGACCCTGTAGAGCTAGAGCACAGAGCCGGCCCGTGCGGTCTCAGTCTTCTCTGCGCCTCACACTTCGCCCGCACACAGTTGGTGTCGAGTCAGAGAACGAGTGAGCTCAGACTCCGCAGCAGCTGGTGACGTCGGCATGGCCGGCTCGTCACTGCCCTCTGTAACTTCACGTGGAGGTTGTGGGTAGCGGCTCGTTGAAAGCAAGGCGTTCAGGCCTTATCTGCCCGCTGGATATAGCGACACAACATTGGGAATATTTGCAGGAGGCTCGTAAAGACTTGGCTCAGGCCATCCCTGGTGACACCCTCGGCCAGCTAGCGTGGGGGTGGGGGTGGGGGGTCCGGCCTTCCCGATCCACAGACCGGTTGTCCAGCAGCCCCGACTTAGCGTGTCTCGGCCGCGCTTGAGGAACAGCCTCAGCTAGGGTGAATCTGTTGGCTTGGAAGCTGACATAGATTGTAAGGCACTTGACCCTCCGCGGGCATTAAGTGTTGTCCGGAATATTTCCGGGGCTGCTAAATTACTTGTTTGTCATTATCCATTTTCTCCTTCTAGCTGTAAAGCCTGCTCTTCTGGCTTCTGAACATACTTAACCCGCACCACAGCTGCTTTTTTCCCCTTGAATTTTTGGACAGCTGATTAAAATCACTACTTAGAGGAGTTCTTCTCAGCTCTTACTCTCTTTTGAATAATTGAGAATAATTGCTGCCTTTCCCTTCAGAACTCCATTAATATTTGAGCACTGCGTATTGCAATCTTGGCTGATCTTTAGCAAGCTGGGGGGAAAAAAAACATATTTTTTTTCTTAAGTCCCACCACGGCAATTATTTGCCCACTACCAGGTCTCGAGGCGCAGGATCTCTTGTGGACGTGGTGACTCTGGAGAGCTGTCCCACGCCCGCGCAGAAGCTCCGAGGCTGGCATGTGTGCCGGGAGGCGAGCAGAGGACGCTCCCTGCGGCCCTGCCCAGGCGGGGAAAGCTGGTAGCGTCTGTGAGGGGCGTAAAGCAGCCCGGCGTGCCCATGTCCATGCCCTCCAACACGGTGTGGTAGTCCCGGGGGCTCACCGTCGTCCTTCCAGCCGCTGCCAAGGTGCCTCAGTCGGAGGCGCCCTGCCTCACCCCCACCAGGTGCGCAGGAACTCTGGCCGTCCCAGGCTGGCCCAGAGCGCTGGCACTGCCAGCCTGTCGCTTCTCCTTCCTCAGCACAGTGTCTGGGGTAGCATCGCCCATGGCTGCCGCTCGCGGCTGTTGGCCGAGAAGGTGGTCGGTCATGTTGGAACCCTCGGGGCCCCCCTCTCCTCTGGCCCATTGCGCTCTTTGGGCTCTATCCCACTGGGTCTCCGTTCTCTGGCCACCGTCCTTTGCACCCCCAGAACTCTCGTCCGTCTCCTCCGCCAAGAAGTCTCTGCGGAGCCACTGCCCTCCCTCCCTGTGCCCGACACCCCTCTCCTTTATGGCCCCCTTTGTGCTTTGGGGTGCAGGCCGAATGCTCTCCTTCTGGGCTGACTTCCCACAGGACCAACTTGTCACAGCTTGTGCACCCCGAGAGACTCGAGGGTGTCCTGTGTCAGCAGGGGCTGGGTCGTGCCCGGCCCCCCAGGCGGAGCCAGAGGGAGCCCACACTCCAGCTCCTCTCCAGCAGAGCTCTGCGCCTCCAGGGGTGCTCCTGTTGCCTTGGCTGCTTCAGAGAGCAGCCTTCCCTGCCAGGGCTCAGCGACATGCCGCTTAGCTGCCCTCCGGGAACTTTCTCATTTAATTTCTCGGCTCTTCTGCCTCCTGAGGGACAGCGAAGCGCCTTCCTTGTAATGAGTTTAGAGACTGTGGAGTCAAGTGCCCGATCCAGGATCCTATCTGCCTGTGTCCTGACAGAGCCCTTGGCACTGGCCCTTCGCGCTTCCTCGTGCACTGGGCAGACGTGTGCTCGGCAGCTGGGCAGCAGCACACCCTCCTTCCAGCCGGCAGTGCCATCTTGCTGAGAATAGCAGCGACTCACTTGTAGGGGGCCTTGACCAGCAAGGCCGAGGATTGGGGTCCCAGGGTTGACGAAAGGAGAAGGCAGAGAGTCAATCGATTGTGCAGCAGAGAGAGAGAGCGTTTATTCTTACAACAGTCATATATATACACCTGAGGGCGGCACAGAAGGTATGGGCGGGGGGGGTGGGTGGTCTGATGGTCTAATGTCTTAAAGGCCAATGGGTTTAAGGGGAAGGATCCGTAATCATCTTAAGGGAGTGGACACTTATCTCGGGAGCCAGGGATAAAACCTTTCTCAGGTGCAGGAACTTACTGAGCTCCAAGGGAGAAAGGAGTGGGAAAAGGGATTTGGGTGTGCTGCATTCTCAACCAGGATGTTTACCCTAAGTTCCGATCAAGTGTTGTTTTGTGCATAGGAAGCAAAGTCCTGGTCTCGGTCCCCGACACTCACTGAGTGCTGACTACACGCCAGGCAGCGGGCCGGGGCTTGGCCTCACGCTCCCCTGCAGTCTTCTCACACCGGCAGCCGAGGTATTTTCCGCCTCTGCCACAGGCAAGTCTCCCGCCTAGATCTTGAGCCTCAAGCTCTTTCTTGCCTCAGGACCTTTGCACATGACACCCCTTCCTCGTGGCGGGCCAGCCATGAGAATAGAGCAGGAAAGTAAACAACAAAGGGGCCTGGAAGGCGGGGGACAGACATCGGCCACCCAGCCAACATACAGGAAATTTCCAACAACCTCTGAATAGCCTAAACCTAGTAAAAGAGACTTGTCTTTAAAGCTGCGCTAGAGAGGTCAGCCAGGTCATAGGGAACAGCATGGAATTCAACTTGCAAATTAAAAAAATATTTTTTTGCTCCTTGCTGCCAATGAAAATAAAATGACTCGGCCTTCTATGAAGGGCAATAAAGCTATGGAAATAGTGATGGTAGTGTCTTCAGCTAGCAGCCATCACATGGGCTTAACTTTCCACCATTAGGAGTGACTGTGCTGGCGGATGCGGCCATAGTTTGTTTGGGGCCAGAAGCTAGAAAAATGATCCAGCCAGGAGGACCTGGCATTCTGTTTAATCCTGTTTCTGCCTGTTATCTTCCCCCCCTTGCCCAGTGTTCCCTGCTACAGTGGGAAGTCCCTGCAGAAAACACAGATGGGGGTTTTGCACGGCATCCTTTAAGCTGTGGGAGCCC